TCCCCTGAATCGAAAAAGTGTTGTTCCATACCCCCTGTATTATTGAATTATTGAAAGACCTGTCCAACGCACATCACAGCAAAACTCCCGATACCATCTATACCATCTGGATGCTTGGCGGTCCACCACTCTACGTTTCACTAAGTTTTCTTTCGCGTACGACCTCTCTGTGGAATAATTTACCACCGGCGATTTTTTCAGACCGATACGACTTAGGGATCTTCAAGAAAAGAGCTTACTCCTTTTTAAAAGGCCGGCAACGCACCTGCAATTCCCTTGCTGTTGCAGTTGTTCATAGGCGGCGGTAGTCACTTAACATCAGGTGAGCCGTATGCTCGTGTGCCCCCTCTCCTATAAAAAAATACCCCACATGGTGGAATAGACGGGTAAAAAAAAATTATCTTCCATTTACCTGTATGGTAGATACCCAAAATAAAAGTGTTTATTAAGATTTTATTTCACAGTTTTGTGATTAATACCTATAACTCTGCCAAATTACAGTTTTATAGCACCCAGGGTATCTGAGTAAAACCGCGGACGGACGGACATGGCGATACTATAAAGGTTTCTTGTTGTTTAACTACGGATCCTTAAAAAGATCGATAGATTAAAACTAAAGCTTTTAATCACTTAATTTGGTTTAATATTTATAGTGAACAAAAAAAAAAAAGAAGGGGTTCTCATTTCGGCTTTATTTTTAAATTATATGACACCAACCGACATAGTTGATAATTGTCAACTGTTATATATACCTGTGACTTGTTGTCTCCTTTTGATTTTTTATCCCAAATCATCTTAAGTTAGAAAATTTTTCAAATGCTGCTGTTTTAAAAATACGTAAGATATAACTGAGCACTTATTATATTTTATTTATTAATAATTTAATATGACCGTCATTTAAAAAAGTTTACAAATTTTGTTAGCAGTTCACCAAAAACAGAAGACGGAATAGTCAAAACAACACAAAAAAAAAACGGTTGACTTCTATCGATAAAATCGCTATCAAAGATAAAATTGATTATTTAAACAATTAGTTTATGAATTCAGTTTTTTTAGTAATGTCATCTAAATCATCTCACTATCACTCTTACGGTAGTCATATATAAAAAAGCTGAAGCTCTCATGGCATTCCCATGACAGCCGTCATTTCATAACGGAAATTTTCACTTAGCTGCGACAGAGAAATCGGATTATTGTCACACACTTTAGATTCGTGACACCCCATAAGAAATAGTCCTTAACGCCTCAAATCAGGACTGCGTGGCGTCCAATTTATGTCACATCTACTGGAAATTAATTTTGCGAGGGAAAATTTCACGAACTCGTCTCAATCACGGCCCACAATGTATTATGTAACTATTGCATGTTAGGAATCAGACATCTGACGCTCTTTAAAAATAAATTAAATTAACATTTAAAGATCCAGGTTTGAAATCATTTTTTGTGATTAAAATTGCAATTATTGCAGCAAATAATGATGTAATCATCAAACTCACAACGCACGCATAGCCCTTGAGCTGATTTTGCATTTTGATTTGCAAAAGAGGATAAATGTAGATGTCTATGGTCCACAGCAACCACTTACCATCAGGTGGACTGTGTGCTCGTTTGTCACCCTATCCTATAAAAAAAAATCTTACTGCTTCTTTCTATGTATATCATATTTTCCCTTTTAAACTCTTATAACTAAACAATAACTATTACTCACTTAACTTATTTATTCTTTTCTTTAAAGTGAGGAGTGAATATGAGCTTTTAGTCACAAATCATCAGATGTGAGCCATTTAGAAAGGAAACGATGGGTCTGGCATAATTCCACAGATAAAAGCCTCTCAAAAAAGAAGAAAAAAGAAAAAATAATAATATAAGCATTACATTAAAAGAACTTGAATGTAAGTAAAAAAAATGGACATAAAGCAGCCTGTTTCCCGCGCATACTGACACCGAGCCGCCATTACCGCGGTCGCTGTCGTGGGCACGTTCGCCTGTGAACATGAAATGTGTTAGACATTTTGGCGAGCGCCGTCGGGCGGGAAAATGGCCAGGATTAGGCATTTTAGCAGTCTTATTTCGACTCAGATATTATTTTATTTGTTGGTTTTTGTCGTATTCAAATATTTTACTAAAACAACTTTTCGCTGCGTTCCTTCATATCAATGTCTTAAATTTTTAATAATTTAGAATTAATCTTAATTTAATTTGCTGAATCAAGTTCAACTACTTACTGTTTTTTATTACACCAATAAATTGAATAGGGGCTCCACAAATTGCGTTTAGTTAAGGGGTTCTTGAATAAAATCCCTTACATGCAAAAAGTTCGAACCCGAAACGACTACTACAACAGTTCAAAAATTGTATGAAATGACGGCTATCATTTAAGCTAAACATTGATACTGATATCACGGATGTGAATGTTTTAACGCCCGTCACTGATTCGCTTAGATTATTTAGCATTAACTAAAACTATATACTAAATTCTATGCATGCTGTCTTTATTGTGTTTAAGAAAGTGAGTAGTGTTAAATCAAAATCACACAAATTCTGCGTATTAATTTATTATCAAAACTTAGTAAAGTAGAAAAAAAGGTACAGCTACCCCAACAGAACGTGGGCCTTATTGTTAGCAATGAGTTACGGCGTCAACAGCCGCGGGTTCGAATCCCACACGGAACAAGTGTTTGTATGGCCTACAAATAATTGTTCCGGGTCTGGATGTTTGTTCTTGTACAATTTATGTAAGTAAACTGCCTCCACGATACAGGAGATAAATCTTAGTGTGGGGGTTGACGTTTAAAAAAAATGAAATATAAATCTACGTTCTAAGACTCCTTTTCTGGCCAAAAAGCCACTGTCGCTAAGCAGGATCTTCATACAGGCTCTACATAGAGCCAGAGTATAATAATTACATTACATCATGTGCGGTCATCTTAGTCCTCTTGAATGACAACACATTTGCACTGTTTTGCAGTACATCACACAGCTTTCTTTGTGTTGGTTACAGGTTAAATAGTCCAGTTATTAATAATTTTTTTATGTTTAAACTGAAAAAGTCCAGCGTGGATTTGGAGTGAAACTCGTCGCGCCATCTACCGAAAATGCCAGAATAATGTCTGGCCGAGCCAACTATATTATAATATTCATCCATCCATTTACAGACTATCCACTGCTGTCTATAAGAGAGGCCTATGTTCAGGCCTCTCTTATAGATTGCCTCATGGGGCGATTTTGCTATAGTTGCCACACTTGGCAATCGGGTTGGCAACCGCAGTAATTTTTATATTATTTTGAGTTGTTATCAGGAAGATGCTGTTGCACATCTCCTATTTCATTGTAATATATTTTCTGTTATCTCATGATGTTTTCATTCCCTGCTTACCGCTTAGCCCGTAAGATGTCAACTACAACAAATAGATGATTTAATGGTTTAATATTAATTCATTTATTTAAGACCAATTATCCATATTTGTTAAAAAATTATCATCTAAATACCTATAACATTAAAGAAAATTAAAATTAATAAATATAAACATTAAATAAAATTACAATTAATTTTTATTATTATTATAGTTTTTAATATTGTATATAATTAAACAATAAAACTAAAAAATTTAAATTAAAATTACAATTAAAATACTACTCTAGGTCGTGGCGTGTCTAATTTACAGTATGCAGATTTATCCAACGCCCTAACATAGGTGAATCCCATCTGTCCGCTAGTACACTGAGAATGACGTTGGTGCTCGTCCGCTTGCGATTCAGCATGGAGGCACATCTTTTGCGCATTATGGCTTCAAACCCATAAACATGAGCCTCTGCAAAAATCCCCGAGGCGCTACAATACCGAAGCAACCCCATTATAATTCTCAACGCATTATTATATTGGACTCAGTTTATGTTTAAAATAACATAATTTAATTTTCTCATGAAAAAAGAGTCTTGAGTTTTTAAAATTTCCTTAATGTTATATTTTGTCTTTAAAACGTTTTCTTTATTTTAACTAGAATTTATTCTTAATAAATATAATAATAATTAATAATTAATAATCTCTAATAATCTCTCTTAATAATCTCTCCTGATCTGTAAACTTATGACCACCTTCATTACATTGAATTGCTTATAATTTTGCTTATAATTTATCTATTAGATTGTTATTTTTCCTTTTCTTCTAACAACAATACACCTACCATCAAACAATATAAGGGAAACCTGTTATTGGCCATACTTTTAGTTTGTTACATTAATGTTAATATTTTCTATATACGCTGTTGGTTTTCTAAATAAATAAATAAATAAATATCATTCTTTCAAACTTAGATTATGTGACATTAAAAAATCTATTTTAATTCTTAATAATATTTTATTATTATAACTGTTCGTCAATAATCAGAAAAAACCTAACATTGTTTAGAGATCTCAACAGACAAAAAAAATTTGATAATACGTCTTAACAAATTGGCATTACTTTAAAAGCAGTAAAACTTCGTAATTACTGCTATCATTTATAAACTTTTCGAAAACAAGTTACAAACTTTTATATTTGTAAATATATGCCGAAATATAAACAGCGCTATAGTAAGCAGGTAAAGGCGATTCTACTGCGAGAACATGCAAAGTGTGACAACGATGCGACTCTATGACTCTACAAAAATAGTGTATGACAGTGTCGAAGTTCGCACAAAGTTAAACAGGTAGCATTGAGTGGACGCGCCCCGGCCGCCGCCGCCGGCCACAAATCTTCCGTTTCACTCGAGCCCAGCCTCCGAACGGCGCGGAGAGGAAACAGCACGCTTCAAAGCACGCGGCTGCGTGATACCGGCTACTCCCGAAATAGGTTGCCCCCCGCGCGGGGCGAAGGCCCATCGACGTGCTTTTAGTATGCTGCGCGCATGCGACACGCCCGCACCCTTCTGCGCTCCTGGTAGCCGCGCTCGTAAACACGCGAATTTTGCGTCGTGAACCAAGCGATAAATACCACACCGCCAAATGCACTAAACAAGAAAATGGTCGCGATTTTGGCCAATCCGAAATGGAGCGAAGATCTTACCATTCAAATGATTATCGAGTATGAAAAACGCGAGTATCTATGGAATCCTGTCGCCGAGCACTATAAGAATAAGAAGATCCGGGAACAGGGCTATATTGAAATAATAAAGGCGCTGAGTTTAGTCGATGTGACGGTTAAGGAGCTAAAAAATAAGATAAAGAACATACGTTCATCTTATAGCGTAGAATTGAAGAAGATTCGCGCGGCGCGGAAGGCTGGAGCGCATGCGTACAGACCCAGCGTCACGTGGTTTGAGCACGCAGACAGGTTTCTGCGGGCGATTGTTACACCGATCTCTGTAAGTCTTTGTTTACAGCGTTAACATAATGGGTTGTATACGTACTATGTTTCAAAACTAAGTAAATTAATTTATTTATTTTTTCTTTAGATGGATAACAGTTTGGTCGAGATACCGGCAAGTGACGACAGCGACGCAGTTCAAGATTTAAGTGAACGCAAATCACCTGAAAAGAAAAGCCCGCGGAAACGTCGCAGCTCCACTCGCTCCTCAACTCCTTACGTCCTAAATACGCCATCGCCACGACCAAGTACGCCTTTCGGCCTTAACCAGACCTCAGCCTCACCGTTTGGGATCTTACCTACCTCCACATCCACCCCATTTCTGAATCCGCCCGTTGGGATAGCGACTCCGTTAACAACCTCACTCGCAACTATTTATCCGTTGCCAACAAAACAAAAGAAGGGCAACTTCGAAGATCGTGGGGATCCCGAGGGACCACAAGATCTAAGCCAACATTCAGAGAATGTGAACGAGAACGAATTCGAAATGTTTGGCAAATTGATAGCGAGTCAATTGCGAAAACTGCCGCTCAGCTTGGCATTGGATACACAATTGAAGATACAAACATTGGTGAACGCCGCTCGAATACAAGCCGTATATCAACAATACAGCTACGCAGGACCTTCTCAAGAGGCACTGTCGGTTCAAGCGCTGTCGAACGGCATATTGGCTAGTATGGCATCGCAAAGTACGTTCGCGTCGCGTGCCGTTATGGGTATGCGAAACGATTCCCCAGAGGATATGAATAGGGACTTGAAGACCGAGTATTCTTTGGGTTCTGAACCCGAGGATTAAGAAGCAAGTTTAATAGAAAGGGAAATTCTTTAAATATTTGCTCATGCCAAACAAATCGATGTACTACCTCTGACAGATTATTATTAATAGCATGAGTTTATTGCTCATGGTACTTACATATATAATATGTGTTTTAGACTTAGAATTAGATATATTCTACATGTTAATTATAATGAACCGTTCATCGGACCTTACCATGACCGAATAGTACAAAAAACGATATATAGATACAAGCGAGGTATTCGCTACTCATGCCAAAATATTGATGTTACGAGTATAAGGGTGTTAAATAATAATAATTATGGAAATTACTTAATAAGTGGTATTTGTGTAGATCTCGGTGTTTTTGGCTGTGTTTTATTATTTATTTATTTTGTATCTGTTACGTCGTCTTGACATGACATTAAGATAAAAAAAATTGTAGAAGTATTGGTCATTCTGTTAATTATTTTTTTAAACTATTTTATGGATATTCCACTTCCTCTGTAGGTCGTATTATGTAACTCAGTTACCAGTAAATGAAAATTATCAATTTTTTTTTGTTACGATAATTTTGTAATAAATGATAATCAAACATTTAAAAATGTGTCTATATCGAATTTATTTTCAGTGTGATAGCTTTTATTAATAGTTAAAAGTAGTTAGTATTTTGTGTGATAAATGTGATTACTTAGAGAAATAAATACCTCAGAATAGAAAACTGTACTTATAGATTTGATAATAGTGGTTTTGAATATATTTTATCTGTTGTTCAATGTGCCACGATTAAAATTTTAAATGGATATGTGAGTTATTGATGGAATTAAATATTTTATAAATGTGATATCGTTTTTTATTTTAAAAAATTTAACGATACAATTTAAGAATCCTTTAATTGTTTTATTAAGATTTTCGGCTTGCATGCCAGTCCTTTAAGCCATGTCTATAATTATTGCAGTATCAAGTGATAGTAATCTTTTATAATACACTGCTTTACAATATGTTCATGTCTCACATTGCACAGCGCTTGCGTGATTTTGACGGCAACTTCAACCAGCAGATAGTTGGCGATAGTATCTCAAGGCGCTGCAGACGATTTAATCACCATCGGAGCACTTGTTTCACCGTTTCCACTAATAGTTCACATGCGCAGACATTTAATACACAAAATAGCACCACTTAAACAATATAAAAATCCACATATGAAAATCCACTTCAAACCATTATTTAATCAATAATACAGGAGCAGCAGTCCGTCGCCGCATGGGTCAAATTCCCGCCAAAATTCCAAAAAAATCCTTTAAAGAATTTGATTAAAAAAGCTGCAAAACAGCCCTCCGTTTCCCTAACTATAACATATTACAGTTTTATCGATACGTAACAATACTTGTTAGTTTTTTTTTTAATACATTAACAATAACGTAGTAAAGTGAAAATACTACGCTATATTTTTTTAATTAGCTTTTGTCTCGAAGAAGCTATAACATAGACATTGTTTCAGACACTTTATTGTTCTGTGTCAAACTGTTTATGAATCGTACGTACTAAATCCTATTGTTTGGCGCGCAATATCGAGTTTTACTTCTGAGAGTTTGCGATATCGCCGCCAAACGAAATAGCTAATCGTAAACGGAACTTATCTTCAGCTGGCGGCGAGGAAAATAAATATGCCTGAAACGGCTTTCCGTTCTATACGTCGGTGTATATTGAATCGACTTATTGTATAAGTACTGTTGCTAACTCGGCTACTTCTTAAGTATTACAAATCGCTAATATCACGTGGAGGTATCGTTTTTTCACTGCTATATATTTTATACATATAAATAAAATTGCAGTGTGTCTGTAATATCGCAACAACTATATTGTGCTGTGAGAGGAGGGGGGGGGGGGGGGGGGTATTTGCATGAATAATAATATTTAAAATTTTTGTCTGCCCTCGGAATGAAACCGATTGTAATTCAGAAATGATCTAGGCTGTATATAATAATTTTAAAAAGAAAACGAAAAATTGATAAAGTGAAAGATACTAGGCGAAGCCTGGGCGTGGTGCTAGCAAGTATGTTACACATAAATTTGATATCACTGGAATGTCTATTGTAGTTATGTATTAAATGGCAATAAAATAATGACTCTGATACTGTAAAATAAAATATAATATAATATGCGTATACGTCTTTATTTGATATTAAAATAAAGTAAATTTTACTCATTGGGTATTGAACGGTGCCTCATCTCGTTTCTGGAAAGCCTCACTTTAAATGGGAAACAAATATCTTATATTTGTTTCCCATTTAAAGTCAATAAGTCAACATTTAAAACTGTGATGAAAAATCAGGGAATTAGGGAATATCGCTTTATATACAAATTTTACCTAGTCGGCAAATTAATGAACACTGTATGCCAAAAGCCGATGATAGCCGCCGCTTGTGAGAGAGCTATTTTTCTTTCGATAATATGTGAAGCAAGTGTTCCTGAAACTATCTCGGAGTAGGGCTGTATGATATTTTAACTTTTTAATTTTCTAATTATCTAATTATTTTATGGTTACGTTAATAAAAGACAAGTTGAGAGACGGTTTTATTGCGCCTAATGCAAGGCTACCCTCCGGAAGGGGGAGAGGGAAGTGGTGAATGCTCATAGCATACCACGGCAGCCGGCTGCGTGGTTATGTGGGACACACTTTGAAGAAGTGTCTACCCACTAAACACCACCTGTGGGACTGGCATTGGCCTGTATAACCTTTCTGCTGAATCGGAAGCGACCCCCTTTGGGAAAAGGGGGCGCAGGAGGAAAAGGGGGCACAAGATTGAGAGATGGTTTTCCACGATTAATTTATGCCTCAACTACAATTAGGAGTTCCTTTAGTGAGAGGGGCCGGCGCCTATACTGAAGCCTTGTGGGCGGAAGACGGCTGCCAATGACGATTTGCATATATAGCGTATTCAGCGCTAGTTTGACCTCTCTCTAGACCTTGTTATCTTTCTCGTACAATAATAATAAAATAATCGTTACATCTTATAAGCAAGGTTTCGGAATTTACAAAAATAATTAAAAATCGTCGAAAATTAATATCGATATTAATGGATTTAATTTAGTTTCACACTTTTTATGATTTGCAATGATAAATTTCAACTTTAAAACAGAAAATAAAGCCGTGGTGCCACACTGTTTGGTTAAATCAACGACCATAGATAGCCTATGTAATCCGGATTTTTGTTTAGAAACTAAGGTGACAATTAATAGGTACAGACAATAATATAGTACCAAGCTTTACCTCAGTAACTTGTTAATCTTTAAAAGTGCATTTAAATGCACTTATCAATATAAGATCTTAATATCGTTATTCTGTAAAATATCAACGGTTCAGTGTTTACTGAAGGCAACATTTCGAATTGAAAATCGCAACGTCGATAGAAGCTGGGAGTGTAAAGCTGCAAAACAGTCATCTGTTTCCCGCTTCGTTCAACTAGGTAATTCTAGCTGGGAAGGATCAAGGTTGCTAAGCAACCGGTACAGTTAAACTGCCAAGTGTAGATTGTGGTGGGAGTTAAAAAATACTTATATAAAAAGTGTACTTAAAAACTATACAACTTAAGTATATACAACATAGATACTTATTTAAAACAGTACTTAATCCTTCATTGCATGATTTTTTCTTTTTCAATTATATAATCATAGTGATATAAAGTGTGTTCTAAATAGTTATAGGAAAGATAATTTAAAAAATCCTTATTGAAAACAATTGAGAAAAAAGTTTAAAAACCATATGATGTAAATTACCATCACCATGCAGTCTCTTGTCTTGAGCTCAGTACTAAATTTAATTAAATTACATATAGGCAATAAAACACAATAATGTTCATTTATCTTATTTATTCTTATTTATTGTGATATTTCAAAAAACAATTATTGTTTTTATTTAAGAATATATTGATTCCACTTTAATTGCACAATATTGTAGAATAACCCTTACATTCCGAGTATTTGCATCTAAGTGAACTGCCCACTATAGGCCAATGTTTCAAGTTATCTTCTCTAGGAGGTGGAGGAGCTACATCACCATTTCTTCTCTTTGCCTCCAATTTTTGCTCCAACATATTCAGAAATTTCCATCACCAGCAACGAAGGGTTAAGAGATGTACTGTTGTTTAGCTGAAGTAGGTGAGAGGGTGCTTCTGCCATCTGGAGGAACACCCTCCCGATGGCAGAGAAGGTATAATGTCGAGGTTGATATAACATTGTTTACCTAATCATTGCTGGGCATGGGCTATCCCGGGGCGTGCTATATGTAGTCGCATCTTTTTATCATACTTTGTATACACTTTTAAAAATAAAATATTGGTATTTGTATAACGCTATTTTTATTTTATGAATTAAAAAAAAATATATTTTCACCCTATCCAGAAGTATGAAACATCCTACGATGAAGAAGAATTAAGAAACCTCTACAGGTGTTTTACCTAAATCACCCATGGATAAATATCCAGGTCCGAAACAATTATTTTTCTTTTTTCTTTCTTTTCTTTTTTTCTTTTTTAAAAACGTTACCCCCATACTAGGATTTTCTCCTGTACCGCGGTGGTAGTTTACATACATAAATTGCACAAGGACAAACATCGCGGAGCAATTACTTGTAGGCCATACAAATACTTATTCCGTACGTGATTCTAACCACCGGCCCTTAACGTAGTAACTCATCGCTAAGCACACACATACATGTCTGTGCGGGAATCGAACCCGCAGCACTGTATCTACCTTACGTTTAGTTCATGAAGTTATAAATGGGGTAAAATTTATTGGAAGAAACGTACTTTTTTTTAAAGGCAATAACTAGATATTCAATTTTTATGAGTGTTAAAATTTTGGAAGTTAGTAAGGTGTGGAAATAACGTAGAAACCAAGTTCTTTATATTATTTCAACGCTTGGCTTAAACTTTAAGTACTTGATCTTGAGCAGTGTTACGCATTATGATGGTAAGTCACTCTAGCCTTTAAAAGCAGTTCTCACTCAAAATGTAATT